CTTAGGGATAGAGATTGGAGCCCATTAAGATGCTTAATTTTAATTGGGATGCTAAAGTTAATTTTTGCTTGTTAGATTAACTTAATTCAAGAGAAAAAAAGGGGATTATTGAATTATTTGAAAGAATAGGGATTGAACTCATTGATTGACTAGGGATTACTCTTTTTAATTGATTGAATTTCATTAGTTTACATTTTGCTCTTGATTAAAATCTGGAAATTGACAACCCCCCCCCAATTTACTTGCTTTAAAATCTATGTTTACACTTGTTCGATGTATGTTCCCAACCAAAAATTCCTTGGAGACGACCTAGGACAACACCCTAGTATTGCAGTCATTTCTTTGCATATTTGATGATGATTAACGACAATCTTTGTGCATAACGAGTAGCAAAAATTCGTTACATCAGTCCTTAGTATATAGGAATGGATGTGAACTACTGTAAATTTTGATATTTTTTTGGATAGTAATGTGTAAATATAATACTTTATGATGCAATTGAAACTTTTAGTATGTAAATGTAAATTTATAGTATATTTTATGCAATTATTTCAAATTTTTATGATTTCATACATGGCTTTAGTAATGTACATTTTTCATTTTAGTAAATTTTGATTTTTTGTATGATGAAAGTTTAGTCATTTCTTATAATTCTTCTTAATCTTGATATAATTGAGATAAAGAAATATAGGGTGTTACATCCAAAACACCTCTATCGACACTCAGGAACTAGAAGTAAGAGCTGCAAAAGCTCTGTCAATATGACCTTTCTGAGCCATAATTTTAGAATACACTTCTGACACTGTAGAGACATGTTGGTGAAAAACTAAGGCATTTCGTGCCAGCTAGATCAACCACATGGTTGTAGCCACTAAAATTGGATGTTCATGTATCTGCCCATGCATCCAATTAGTAAAGTTACTATCATCCAAAGGGGCTATATAATTTTGGACCCCAAAGCCCACCCAAACTAGACTAGCAAACTCACAATTAAACAAAGTATGTTGTATTGTTTCCTGCTCAGTTAGACAGCTCAAACACTGCCCCTCCTCCATTATATACTGATCCACCATCAACTGCTTAACCTGAACTGTTAAATGACAAACTTGCCGAATGAAGAATTGAATATTAACAAGTAAATTCTGGCACCAAATCCAACTCTATCTACCCCTCCAATCCAGAGAATCCTTTTCTCGAGTAAGCCATAGGAAGCCTAATCTAGTGGTGTACATGCCTTCGGTGTTAAAACTCCAAATCCACAAATCAAGGAGATTAGGAACCAACATTGGTTTTACCTGATAGATAGCTTAAGTCACAAATGTAGGCAGTTCTTGATAAAGTTGATCAAGCCGCCAACCTTGTGGAGACCAAAGATCTTTGACTTGAACCTCGACATCATGTATATCCACTCGAAAGACTACTTGACCGATAGGGATCTAGAGCGCCCAAGGATCAAACCAAAAGTTTAACCTACCATTTCCTAATTTAATTTGAAAGTCATCTGTAAGAACATCTGCAGCTTTAATAATAGCATGCCAAGTAGGGGAACCCGGAACCACACTAGCCTCAAAGATAGTCTTATCATGTAAATATTTATCCTGAAGTACCTCCACCTAAAGCAATGGCGAGTTAGACACAATATTCCAAACCAACTTCTCAAGGAGTGCATTATTGTGCAATCTACCTTTTCTCAAACCCAACCTGCCCTTCTTCCTATGGCGTGTGACTTTCCCAAGCAACCCAATGTGCACCATGGGTATTATGCCTCTTCCAAACAAATTGCCGACATGTTTTATCAATAAAATCACACGTATACTAAGGAAACCACTGAATCTGCATTGCATACGATGGAATCACCGATAAAACTGACTTAGGCAGAGTCACTATACCAAGTTTGTTCAACACATGTCCCTTCCAACTATCTAGCCAACGACCCATTTTCTCCACAACATCTTCAAAATCAGCTCAAGTAACTTGACCTTGTAGCATATGAAAGCCACGATATTTACCTATATGACGAGTGAATTGTATGCCAGTGCTATTGATAATATTTTCTCTAGTAACCCTAGAGACTCTTGAAGATGCAAAAGCACAAGACTTGTCCACATTAACCTGCATACCTGATATGTCATAGAAAGACCTCAACACCTTGGCCACCAAATTAGCTTGTTCTAGCTTTCACAAAAAGAATCACATCATCTACAAAGAATAAGTGTGAGATACAAGGCCATGCTCTAGTAAAATGAAATAGTTTCCACCCTCCTGAAAATACCTCCTTAGAGATCAAACCACCTAATCGCTCCATACATAACACAAACAAGTAAGGAGAGAGAGTGGATCTCCTTACCTTAAACCTCGAAGAGGAGAGAAGGGTTCTAACTTGTCACCATTCCAAAGAAGAGATATTCTAGAAGCAAATATACTGGATATTATTAACTCAATAATAATACTCGAAAATTCAAATAAACGAAATGTGTGTTTAAGGAAAGACCAATCCACCCTATCATATGCTTTTTTAAGATCCAACTTGAGAATTATGTCATTGTTTTTCTTCTTGGACTTGTGCATGTGATGCACAACTTCCTACAAAATAATGGCATTATCCTTCAAGCTCCTTCCCAGAATAAAACTACTCTGTAATGGGCTAACAATATTATTTAAGAACGGTTGGATTATGTTGACTGGCACCTTAGAGACCAATTTATAAATAACATTGCAAGGATTTATTAGACAAAACTCTTTAAATGAATTGGGAATACCAATCTTCAAAATTAAACCATAAGTGTATCCGTAGAACTCGATTCCAAAACTTACGTTACAAAATCATTAGCCACAAACTTCCACACATCATCCCCAATTTCCTGCCAAAATATTTTGAAGAAAATGGGTTGAAACCCATCTGGACTAGGTGCCGTGTACGACTTCATGCCTATAAGGGCCTGATATACCTCCTCCTTCAGGACTGGTGCTAGGAGAGAATGTTTTGCTTCAACAGATAAAGTATGTCGAGGCCTGCCATTCATATCTTGAATGCAAACCATGCACTTTATTCCTCTTTCGTCTAATAATAGTCTGCGTATGAAAAAAGATAATATTCCTTCTACCTAGTCGGATCCATTTATCTCGATCCATTATATTAAATGAACATTTATCAAATTTAAAATCTAATTAAATTATTGTAATAATTCAATTATAAATATTAAAGTAAATAAATTTAATTATAATAGAAGTCTTATGTTATATATACCATTATATTTTCAAATAAATAAAGAAAATATAAAAATTATATATCTCTTGTGAAACTTTATTTTATTTTAAAAAATATATATAATAAGAGTTGTATTTTGTAAATATAATATATAAAAAATTAAAAAGAAGCCGTATATACTATGTACGACTTACAGTATTTTCATAATAAATTTAAAATTATATTCAGTCAGTAATTACCATTTTATACTTACACTGTTTCACTATAAAACCTAAATTCGTAAGTTACTTTAAAATTTAAAAAAAAATAAAATGTGCTTCATGAAACTAAATTTTAATAACGATGCTGATACAAATAAAAAAATAATTTACATTTTTTGTATTTAGTCGTCGATATTATTAGACAAAGACTAGTACATGCTGAAGCTACACAATAACTATTAGAAGATTACGTTTTGCACCTCAATATTTTTACACCACCATAATTTTTTAATTATTTTTTTTCTAAAATATCTCTAACAAAAATTTAAATTATTAAATAAATTTAAAAAATTATTAATTTCTCTAATTTTTTAATATTTTTTAATATTTTTTTTATTTTTATTTTTCATCTCTATTTCTTGAACTTCATTGTTTTTCAATCATTATCTTCTTCAATTATATTTTAAATATTGTTACCTTCAAGTGCGTCAATTCCATTAAATGTATTATAAAAAACTTAATTTACTGATAAAAATAACATTTATGTCGGCTTTCGTCGATTTGTCAACATCGTCAAATTTTTAAAAATAAAATTTTATATTTTAAAAATTAATTTTTAAAATTAAACTTTCACACTTTCAAAAATTATTTATAAAATTATTAATCTTTTTTATTCTAGAAAATTACATAAATTTTTAAAATTAAATTAATTCCAAATTTATGTTTTCACACTTTTGGAAAGTAATTTTCAAAAATAAATTTTTCCAGAATCAAGATTTTATGTTTCTAAAAATAATTTTTTGAAATTAAAATTTTACACTTTTGAAAATAAATTTATGAAATCATTAACTATTTTTGGAAATAACTTTCTAAAATTAAGATTTTTCACTTCTAAAAATTAATTTCCAAGATTAGTTTTTCATACTTTAGAATTTAATTTTTGAAATTATTTACTACTACTTCGAGTCCAATTAAAAAAAAAACTATTTCATCAAAATTAACAAGAAATAGTTATATAGTATAAATATTAATGTTATTTGAAAAATGTTCGTCATATTAAACTAAGTAAGTTATATGAGAAATAGATGAGTTTTTTTAGTTAATATAATTTTATAATAAACTAAAGGTACAAAAATAAATTTAGCAATTAGTATATTTAAAAATGAGTCTGAATTTTTAATAATTATGACAAAAAAATGGCAGTTGTTCCTTATAATTAGGAGTATTTCTGAAAATAAGATTTCAAAATTAAAATTTTACACTTTTAGAAATTAATTTTTAGAACTAGTTTTAGATACTCCTGGAAATTAATTTTCAGAATTATTAATAATTTTTTGCACTAAATTAAAAATAATAAAAAATAAAGAAATTTATTTTATCATGGTGAAGGATGTTTTAAAAAAATTATAATTCTTTTTATAGAACGTAAAAAAAGAAGGAAAAAAAAAAGAAGCAACTCCCTAGCTACTGAGCCCTGCGTAGAAGGAAGCCCAACAACATGGGCAACGTACAAGACAATATCTTTTCCAACGCGCTAGCCCAAATCATAACACTAACATAGGCCGTACCACGTGGTTTGGCCAGAGAGGGGAAGTGAAAATTTTAAGACTCAAATTCGAATATGATCATCTTATAATCTGCTAGCTCTGATTACTTGAGCTATTTGCAAGGTTACATAGCCAAGAGGCTAATTAAGTTGGAATAGCGACAAAGACGAAGGCCCAATCCAAACTGTGGAGAGAAGAAGAACAGAGGTGAAGAGGAAAAATTAGGTGATTTGGGTTGAACAGAGACAAGAGTTGAGGGTGGAAATGAAGGTGACATGGAAGAACGACAATAACAAGAAGAAGCGTTGTTTACCTACGTTGTCACACTTCACTGACCATCCATTTGAGCACCATCAACAACACCCCAACAACGACACTCCCAATTCTGACCAATCCCACACAACACAACTTGCTACTGAATTCCAAGCTCAAGGAGACAAGCTTGCTATGGTATGTATCATTATTACCATCACATAAACACACGGTTCCTCTTAGGTTCTTTTATTATTCATTTATTTTTTGGGGCAAAGGAAACCTCAACTAGGGAACATAGAATTATGAAAGAAATTAGGATCACCCAAATTATTTGTAATTTAACAGAAAGGCGGTGTTCTTTCCTTCTTTTTTCACCTGAAAATTGAGCACTGAAAGTTTAGATATATGATATAGGTTAACTTACTTATGGATGACTTTAGATGCTTTTATTGTCTTAGAGATTCACCCAAAATTGTCTTAGCAAGTTTTCTGAACTTCTTAGACATCTAGTTCCAAATGAGGTTAGCACTACCTTATGCTTCTCAATTACCATTTTTTGCCAATTGCTTCTTAAAATCTAACTGTTTATCACCTTTACGTAGTTACCACTTGATTCTTCGGTCTATAACTTGTAAAATTCTTCGTTTACCACTCTTAAAACAACATCAAGAACAAAGTCCTATGTTGTTTGGTAAGGCTCTCCTGGAATCACTTTGCAATCGTTGCAAATTCTTTTATCTAGATTCATTACCAAAAAGAAGTCAATTTGTGACCTTGAGACCCCACTATTTTAAGTGATAAGATGCTCCTTCATAATCTTGAAGTCATATGCCGTTAAGAAATAAAAAATAGATTGTCCTTCCTCATTTAACTCTTCAAAATCAAAACCACCTCATAACCTTTGTAAATTGTCTTACCTCACAACTAACATGATTGTTTAAGTCTCTACCTATAAAATTTCTTTCGGCTTGTGGAATTTAATATCTAATAAGGAGATACATAAATGAATTCATTATAAGGTCCTTAAGTTGTTTCCTTTTCAGGGTTCATCTAGACAAATGAAATTTTGGTATTAAAGGCTTGCTAGTGCAGTTGTTCTTTCAATTTTTTTCTGTGATATGATTTGAATGTTCTCTCTTAATTCTTAAATATCTTGCCCGTACCTCCATGTTTGGTGTCAGATTAACTTCTGTCAGTGTGGATTCAACATTTCATTTTTAACTCTGTGGTCTATTCCTAGTGAATCTTTACATTTTATTTTTCAAAATGAACATCATGGGTACAATTAGTTATATGATTATAAAGTGGCACACAATGTGTTGGTGTGTCCTTTATCCTTTATAGCTTGGACAGTCCATTTTGGGGGCATGTCTGCATGTCATGTGTTAGACACACTGTCGACACATGTCCAAGGCACATCAATTTTTTGTATTTTTCCTACAACATGGCATGACACATCCATGTAAAACTCAAAGAAAATAAGACACAGAACTAGGGTCTATTTTTAAGTCTTTAAGATAGGTGCTTTTGTCATGTATCAATCTCATTTCCCCCAACATTTTCATTTCAATTTGAAAATTATGACATATAACAAGATGTTGTAACATTGAATTTGAAGCTTATATATGTGATTTATTAATTATGAATCCTTTTCCTTAATTTTTCAATTATACATATGTGTATAAGCTATGTTCTTGTCCTAGATTTTTTAGAATTTGGTGTGTTCCTGTGTTCTTTCTTGTAGGATGGGAAATATCGGGAAGCACTTGGTAAATGGGAAGCTGCTCTTGCGTTGGCACCTGATGTTCCAGTTTTGCATGAACAAAAGGCCCAAGTTTTACTTGAAATTGGAGATGCTTGGAATGCTTTAAAGGCTGCAACTCGTGTGTCAATGCACTACATGCTTCTTAATAATGTTTATTTAATCTACACTGAATGAACTTTTAATATACTAAACTAAGTATAACAAATGAAGTCTTTTTTGGGTTGTAATTGGAATATACTGTAGTATGTCCCTTGTTGTCAATGAAAAATTTAAAATTGTCTCTCTTTTCTATACGAGTTATATTCATCAATTTGTTGTTATATATTTAGTTCTGGCAAAGTAGGTATATTCTGTTTCAATTCCTAAATTTATTGTTTGGGGTTTAGCCGGCAATGTTTGCTATATAATTTTAATCGGAGATGGTTTAGTGCTTGAAATATGATAATTTATTGTCTCTACTTGACAGGAGCTACTGAATTGCAACCATCATGGGCTGAGGTATGATACTGCATTATTTGTATATGCCATGTAAAATTTATCATTAACATTTTTGGTATTATTCCTTCCTATTCATGATAATTTTAAAAGTCATTTTTTTACTCCAATTTTGTTGAGTAGTTTCAATTTTCAATTAATAAATATGGCAAAGCAAATATATAATCAGTTTAACAATGGACAAGTGGTATTTGGAAGTTCCTCTTAAGAATTTTCTTAATTATAGAGAGAAACAGTGACCTGTGTCTTTTTGATCTATTTCAATCATAAAATTGGATGTCCTCATTTTGATCTCCAAACATTCCTCCAAGTTGCAACTCGAAGCAATCATTGGCTGCTAGCTCTGTTTTGTTCAGTATATCTCAAAAGTATGAATACATATTTGAAACTCGGTATCATTTTCATTTAAACCTGATTCACGTTTGTTCCTGTAATGTAATGCTTAAAAGTGTTAAAAAGGATGACCAAATGCGCATTGCAAACCCAAGTTGTAAGATCCATAACCTTGTTAGATGTTTTGTGTGCTTAAGACATAATGCTCTAACTTGAATTTCCAAATGCTTTGTCAATTTTCTTTCTTTGATGCTGTGTTGGCTTTTATGTTATGTCCATGTTAGATTCGTATATAGTCACTGACTCACTATTCTTATATTTTTATACCAAATCCTTTGCAAACTGTATTTTTGGGACTTAAAAAGTGTTAGTCTAAATTAGAATAGTATGCCATGGTTTAATTTTAGATTACCAATGATCGAGCCAGCTAAATCAGTGCGAATTCATTTTATAGTCTACAAAATGATGAGTTTTGTTCAATCTTGATCCTTCCAGGCATGGGTCACACTTGGCAGAGCACAGCTGAATTTTGGTGAACCGGATAATGCTATTGAAAGCTTTGACAGAGCTTTAGCTCTCAAGGTTAGTCCTCATGGTGCTTGGTAGTTGGGTTAGATGTTACTCAAATTTTCCATCCAGCATTGAGCTTGTATTTATATTTATGACATCAATAACCAGAAGTTTGACTGGTTATAATTTGACATTCCGATATAATTGGATAAACAGTGATAAATAATTTTACAAATCAAACATGAAGTAGTAGTAGTTAAACAAGCACTTAGGATCAGTTGTAATTAGAGCAACTTAATCACTTGTTGATTAAGAGTTCTATATTTTAATGAGCAGAATTAAATGAGAACGTTCACCAGATTTTAATTTTGGGCCTATGGATTTTTTGTGGGAAGTTGGGTTCTTGCCACTTGTTGTATGCATGTTTTCTTCTGAAGCTTAAGCCCAAGGGTGCATCTTTTTATCCATTTTCAGTTGGATACTAATCAAAATTTACTGTTTTGTGCAGCCTGAGTATGAGGAAGCTCAAGATGATAGGAAAACTGCATTACATCTAGTAAAGAAGAGAAAGCAACTTCATTCATCAGGACTGAGTGCCACTCAAAATCGTTATGTGGTTGGCGATAAGGATGAAAAATCGTGAAGGTACACAACGGACAAAGTCATCCAAATATTTCTTATGTAATATTTGTTCATATAAGTTTATGTTGAGATAGGAAATTTCAACTCAATGCCCACAACAGTTCAATTGGATATAGAGGTGACATAATAGTTATGTTTGTGTGTAATAACGATACTTTCTTGCAGATCCAATGGATCAATAATTGCAGAATGATCTTATGCTGGAGAATACTAGTTCCTACTTCCTAAAATGCGCTGGTTCAAGAAAATGTTACATAAAGTAATTATAGAATGGGGCATTAATTGCAGCTACTATATGAAGCACTCGTTTTGAAGGCAATCTTCTAAAATCCAGAATGCAAATATAGAGTAAGCAAAGAAAACAAAAGTCAGTGAAAAATAGTACGTCACAATTCTCTCAAATTAAAAATGAGAATAAAAAATTGCAAAAAAAAATTTACACAAAATTTTCAAATGCAAAAATGGCTGAATGGATCATCATAACTACGGATGGAAACAGGTCAAATTAGACTTTACTCTAAACAGGTTTAACCTGTAACATAATTATTAAGCCTGAACCTGGCCTGTTACCAATTAAAGGCTTTATTTTAGATCTGACTTAATCTGTTTAAGTGACCTGACCTGGCCTGAAACTTATTAACAAAGTCTGTTATAAAAAAAAAATTAATATTAATAAAAATATAAATATTTTATTATCAAATTAGTTTATATATTTTTTTAATTTCTATCTATATTCTTAATAATTATTAAATAATTATAATAATATTTATATAATTTTATAAATAATTTTTAAAATATTATTTCAGTATTAATTATAAATATTTTATATTAATAAAATTTATATTTATATTTTTCTTGATTTATTTTTTAAAATTATATAAATAGTAAATATTTTAGTTTTATTTTAGAAACATATTTTGTTTATTTAAAGACATCTTATATTCAACAAATAAAATTATAGTAAATACATAAAATTGATAAAAAAAATAACATTAACACAGTTTGTTGAATCAATTAAAAAAATTATTATGTTTTAAAAAAATAAATTTAAACCTAATGCAATATATATATATATATATATATATATAATGACAATAATAATAACTATTAAATTAAAAAAATGATTACAAAAAATAACACTTACAAAATTTATTGAATCAGCTAAAAAAATTATTATATTTTAAAAAGTAAATAAATATCATCATTATAAAAATTGTATATAATAAATACTTATATTATAAAATTTATAGATGCAGAAAAATAACATATAAGCATAGAAAGAATTATTAAAATTTATATTTAAATTAAAATAGCTTATATTTCTAAATTTTTATCTTAATTAAAAAATATGTGATAAAATTTAATATAAAAATTTAAACTTAGTACTATATATATATATATATATATATATATATATATATATATATATATAATGAAAACATTAATAACTATTAAATTAAAAAAATAATTATAAAATATTTAATTTTATTGGTTTCATTAATTTGTTATTTTAAATTAACAAATAAATGTAAAATTAACTACACTATAATATTAATGTAATATAGAAAATATTACTGATACAATAAATTAAAACACATACTTATATATTATATATAAATTAATGAATTAATTAATAATTTAATTAAAACATGTGTACGTTATAAAAATATATATTATTATATAATTTATTTATAATTATATTATTTATATTATTTGCTATGATTATATATATATATATATATATATATATATATATTAATATATATTATAATAAGTTTTTTATTTTATTTTATTATCATTTTTTAATAAAATTTTACTTTCAAATAAAATATAATTCAGATTTAAACAATTTATATTTATTATAAATAAAAAGAATTATAATATAATATATTAATATTATAATTAAATTAATAATAATAAAAATAAGAGTATAAAAAATATGTTAATATAATTTTATTATTTTATTTTTAAATTTTATTTTGTTTAGTTTTGATTACGTCTTATTCTTGTTCAAAGGCTTAATTATTTTTTAAATTGTTTAAATATAATAATTTATTATTAAATAAATTTATTATTTAAAAAGTATAATCATGTCTAAGTATTTTTAATTTTTAATAGAATATAATTTCTGTTTATTATAATTATAAATAAATAAAATTATAACATAATATATTAATTTAATAATAACAGAATTAAGAATATAAAAAATATATTATTAAGTAATTTTATTATTTAAATATATATTTGATAGCTTTATTTTAAATTATATAATATATATATATATATATATATATATATATATATATATATTTATACAGGCCAAGTTTAACAAGCTTTATAAACAGTTCAGGCCTGACTTATTTGCTTAAACAGACTCATAAAAAAGTCTGAGACTGGTTTGTTTATTAAAAAGGTTAGATTAGCCCTAAACTAGGCTAGGTCACAAGTCTTTGTCAGACGACTTGACCTGTTTTTATTTCTAATCATAACTCAGAGAATAAAAGTTTACGAAGAAACATCAAGAGTACACTGCTAATCTTATAATCTCAATGTCATATTTTTTTATGAAGAAACATCATAACACGACATCACATTCATAGTATACAATACAGTTCTTTATCAAAAGTAAAATAAAAAAACAAGTACAGGTTTAGTTCAAAACCTAGGTGTTAGGTGATGACTGTTGAGGGAGAAACTAGGGGCAAAACCACAAGCATAATAGGCAGAAGCACAGAAAGTGAGCAACGACATTTGTTATGACCGATATTAAGAGAGCACAACAAGAAGTACGTTCTGGGTATTCCGAGTAGTATTCTTACAACAAACAACAATGTAAGACAACTAAATGAATAATTTTTCAATACATTCCCTGTTTATATATTGATTTTCTATCCCAATATAACTACCTAATCGCCGCTCCAACATTAATCTCTACAGTTTATCAATCCGTGATTATACGTATTTCATATCTAAAGCAAACAGAATAGGCTACCCCTCTTTAAACAAGGCTTGCCCTCACGGCCGTCCAATGTTCTGTACTTAAAAGGGTTACCCAATATTAGAATTGGGAATTTGCACTTAAAAAAAGAAAGAAAGAAAGATCATGTTAAACTGAATCTTCTGGACTAGTATGCTCCCACTAAACCAGAACTTCGATGATGGCCCTATTTCTTCTCGTCTTCATTCATGTGTCTAGGATAGCTAAAGGTTGGGGATGTACAAAGCCCTAGGTAACATGGCCGCCACTGGATGATTACCATGATGTTTCTTCAGTAGAGAGACATGAAACACATTGTTGATCCTTGTCTCTAGAGGTAGATCCAGCTTATATACCAAATCTCCTATTCTTTCTATAATTGAGAAAGGTCTAAAATACTTAGCATTTAGTTTCTTTTATGCAACATTAGGTACTGAATGCTGGTTGAAGGGTTGTAACTTCCAGTAAACCCGTTCACCACACTCGGACTCCTCTTTTCTCCTCTAATCTGCACATAATTTCACAGAATTGTGCCTTAATCAAATTGTGCTTCAATAGATGGATGATTTGCTGTCTAGTCTTTATAATGTAATCTAAAGCTTATACAATGGAATCACTAATGATCAAGGGGCTAGTTCTGGTTGGTGTATACCCATATAAAGCCTCAAATTGGGTTAGTTGTATGGCTAAGTTGAACTTGGTATTTTATCAATATTCAACCAACGGAAGGAAATGCACCCACTTAGACGGCATATCTCCAGTAGAACATGGAAGGTAGCTTTTCAAAGCCTTATTCAAAGTTTCAGATTGGCCATTAGTTTGAGGATGGAAAGTTGTGGATTTTAACAAATCAATTCCATGCGCCTTGAACAACTCTTTCCATAATGCACTCATGAACTGTGGTCTTTGTCTGAACCCTGAAATTATTTAAGCAAGCTAGCCATGTAATCAATTAGTTTGACTACACAGTCCATAAAGGATTAAGCTACCTTGGCAGCACTCAATGGTTGTGAGAATGGAATGAAATGTGCATATTTTGTGAATCTATCAACAACTACCAAAATAACTATCATTCCATGGGATTTAGGCAATCCCACAATAAAATCCATGGTAATGGATTGCCAAGTCTGCTCTAGAATTAGTAGAGGTTGCAGCAGTCCATGTGGCAACTAGGAAAGACAATTGGGGTTTAAATCTGACACACAGTGCAACACTATGAATTCCTTTGCTGCTCTCTGTAAGCCTTTGCAATGGAGCACCTCTTTCCACCTTTTATATGTCATGTGAATCCTTGAATGAATGAAAGTAAGTGAGGTTTCTCTTTGTCATTGTTTGATCACTGCCTACAATCACCTTGCCTTTCCTCTTCAACACCTCTTGGTCCCAAGTGTACTTCTTATAGGCTATTTGGACAATTTCATGGTATCAATAATTTTCATAATTTTTTGGTCATTCTCCCATGGTTGTTTCACTTTATGCAGCAAATCAGAATCAACCTTAAAAATAGGAAGCAAACTAGCAAGACATTAGCAACCACATTCTTAGTTTTCTTCTTGTATTGTCTTGAAGTCCATCCCTATTAATTTCTCTTGTTGATAGAAGAGAACAAGAAACATTGGATGAATGTGCTTTTACTACACACCAGAACATATATTTATAATAGGAATTATTTATAAAAAATAAGAAGTTACTATAATTACAAAGATACTAATTTTTCTATTTATAATATTACTATAATTATATAATTCCATTACTCACTCTCAAATAGGACCATATAAATCATATGCACCAAGTTTGTTGCATATATAACTAATTTGAGGACCTCTTAAAGACTTGGTATAGACATCTGTCAGTTGATCATGAGAATTTACAAAGCAGTAGTGATGTCTCTAGATAAACTATTCTCTCTATTGAAGTGATAATCTATCTCAATGTGTTTAGTTATCTTATGAAAAACTGGATTTGATGTAATATGTAAAGCTGCCTTATTATCACAAATAAGTGTCATCTCTTTAACTTCTGCAAATCTCAATTCTTTGAGTAGTTGTTTAAGCCATATAAGTTCATAAGAGGCTAAAGTTATGGCTCAATACTCTGCTTCTGTACTAGATCTTGCAACTATACTCTGCTTTTTGCATTTATGGGAAACTAGATTTCCACCAATAAGGATGCAATAGCCAGATGTAGATCTCTTATTACTAGGTGATCTTGCCCAATTTGCATCTGAATACTCCATAACTTGAGTAT